TGGCGAAAACCAAATTGGTTGGATGAAATTAGATTATACCGATCTAGGTAGCCTACTAGTCTTTTATTTATTAAGCGTTCGAAAATTTTTGATAATGCACTCAATACTGCAATGGGGCGATAGTTGTTCGGTAGTGTTCCGTCACCACCCTTGAAGATAGGATGGATTATCGCCTTTTTAAGAGCATTTGGAAAGACAGCTGTGTCACAACAAAGATTAAATATGTGGCTTAATATGGGTGCCAGAAGGTTAGAGTATCTCTTCAAAATATAAGATGGGATGCCATCCCAACCCGTAGAGGCGTTTGCACGCAGTGAGTCTATCGTTGAAATGACCTCGGCAATGTCAGTATAGCTTAAAGCGAAGGACGAACATGCTAACGGTTTTGCAATGATTTGAGATTTGGTGATTAGGCGTTGATGTTGATGGTTCGTTATATTGTCCGCAAGTGTTTTACCGATGTTGACAAAGAAATAGTTTACGTCGTTACATGACTGAATGGGTGAAGTAGAGGTGTCCAGTAACTGAATTGAAGAATTTTTCACTTTTGTTGTATTCGTTATTTGTTTGATAGTATCCCATAGTAATTTTGGATTGCGACTGGCTATGTTTATTTGGTCTGCATCATAAAACCTCTTAGCTTTTTTTAAAGTACTTGTGCAAAACTTTCTGTATCTTTTGTATGTTAGATGTAAAACTTCATTTGTTGGTGATTTCTTAAATTTTTTATGCAGTGCGTCTCTATGTTTTATGCACCGCAGTAGGCCGGGAGTAATCCAGGGTTTTAGTATTTTTTTCATTGCTGGGACTTTTTTATAAACTGTATGTTTTGATATGGCTGACGACAATAATTTTATAACTGTATCTGTCGCTGTGTTAGGGTTTATTGAGAAAACGGAATTGAAATCCATGCTGGATATTGTTTCATCAAGTGCATTGTAATCGATTTTAGCAGCGGTGAAAGCCACAAAGTTTCGAACACTTTGGTTACTTAGACAGAGCAAGGTTGAGTAGTGATCTGTGACTGTTGATTCATAGATGAATGAGAAAGACGGGGACTTTGTTTTTAGAATAATATGATCTCAACAATTTTTACCTCGAGTTGGACATGTATGAGCTGGTAGTAAACCGTTTGAAGCGAGGCAATTTAAATATTCGTGTGAGCGTGCGTCTAAAGTATTTGGTTTGATGTCTATGTTTAAGTCACCAGTTATGACCACAGTTTTAAAATTAGTAAGCGATGAAAGTAAATTATTAAGGGTTAAAAGTAAGGTATTTATGCTATCACATGAAGGTGTACGGTAGATACAGATTATTGCAATAGTCTTATTAATTTTGATAATGATTCCAGAAGCTGTTTGATTAAAGTCTAATTCTTCATATAAAACCGATAACCCAGATTTGATATAAACCACCACACCGTCACTTTGATTAATGTGTTTAGTAGTTTTGAACATAGTATAGTTTTGAAGAAGCGGTATGGTGGCATTGCTTGAGCATGGCAGCCAACACTCTGTGAGGACTATCAAGTCGCAGTCAAAATGAAAACTGTTCATGAATGTTTGTAAATTTAAAAAATTGCAGTTTATTGAGCGAATGTTCTGAGAAAATATTTTAAGAAATCCATTTGGTTGCTTTAAATAAGTTGCTGTTTCTTCGGGGGAGCATGTGTGAACTTCTGATACGGAGAGTTGATCAATACTATCAATAAGATCATTAATAACACCAGTCATTTTTGTAGCAAGTTATAGTCAAAAGGATTAACGAAGTGGGATGAATCATTTATAACAGATTTTAGAGCAAATTGGAGAAGTTCAGTATTATAAGGTCTCGGGATATGGGACATTCGGTTCGCAATGGTTACTAAAATATTAATAGAGGGAATTAAGTATTTATAACGGATAATTAATATGATATATCTTAATATAGCTGTAATGATATGTACGAATAAATAGTAATATGGATTTTAGTGTTTTGTCTACTCATATCTATGAATAGTTGTGTGGGTTTTTGAGGGTTGTGTAATATTTTATAAAATATGTGTGTACTTATACTAATGAGAGTGCCAAGATTTGTAACTGACTTATTTAAAGTTACAATATTATAGGTAATACAATAGGAAATGTAATGTAATCGTGGATTAACAGCTAGTCATAGACTATTTTGATGGGAAAGTTGTTTCAGATGTTCTTCATTTTTAATAATGATTGCCTGGCTGTTTGTATCCTTTTTTAGCATAATCTTGCCGTTTGAAGTCCAACAGAAACTATATTGGTTTGCTTTGGCAAAGGATCTGGCAGAGTAGAATGTTTTTTTGGCTTGGGATGTTAATTGTTCAGTAATATATATTGGTAGCTGCTCAGTAGTTTTAATATCCAAGTGAGATGAGCTTACCTTTTTTTTAGGGTTCTGTTTATTGTATTGTCGAATAGCATTTAAGAAGCTCGCCTTGAGTAATGTGTTGGAGAACTCTAACGTTATATTTGAGGTTTGATTTTCCTTTTTAGAAGGTTGTCTGGTTATATCCCGAATATGTGTGGGTTCTATTCCTATATTTAGTTGTTTTGACAGGTAAGTAATCGAATCATATAACATTGACTTAGTTTCAGCCACTCTTTTAGGTACATTTCGAAGCTCAACAGAAGTCTTCACAAGGTTGCGGTCAAGAGTTTCTAGCCTTTCTTCCAGTGATGTGACTTTTCTTGCCGTCTCGTGCCGTTCCATTTCTAAACTTGAGATATTGCTCTCTAGAGATGATAGTTGATCGGATATGAATGTCATAGATTTTTCGAGCTCGGTATTAGTTGTTCTAATCTCAAGATATTGGTTTTTTATATCCAGAATATGGCTTTCCAAATATTATATTATATTCAAAATCCCATAAAGTTTTGTCTAAATATTACTTTTTATAAATAATTCCATAATTTCAAAAGATAAAGTGCAGTATAAATTTAAAAAGATTGAAAATTATTACCGTTTTATCTATATGCAGACTACAATATAGTGGCCAAACGTGTCTGGGTCATAAAATTATCGCTATGTACAAATATTCATTTCGTAATATCTGTTTTGATCTGAGAAAACATTGCTTAAGCCACTATAGATAATAGTACAGAATGCGCAACAATTACTTGTATAAAAAGCGACCGACAACTCCATGCGATTAGGTGCAAAATATCTAAAATAGAAAAAATAACGTCTCACTTATCATACCAGACGTTGACATTGACAACAGCAGCATTAACATTCTAAAACCATCACATAGGTTTATCTTGCACATATTTGGCATTCCAATAAAATATAATCTGTGGTTAACGGTATCAACTCCATTTTTTTACCCTTTTCTTAAATTCATTTCGCGTCCGTGCACTGAGTTTCTTCTTCCATTCTCTTTTATAATAATTTTTAACTCTCCTTGGGACCACTCTTCATACTTAATTTAAAAACGAAATACTCTAGTGCTGAATTACTGCTGCTTCGTTCCTTCTCTTTGTTGTTTGTTGCTATTTTTTTGCTTGTTGTTCTTTTAAGCATGTTATAAGGTCACTTTTTCTTCTATTTATTAACTAGTGACCTACGAACACACCGAGTAATGAGACTCGGGAAATCTCAGACAAAGTTAAATCGTCAACGAAATTACTGATACTGATGACTGCTGATTTTAAACGTTCTAAGCATAATGAAACCTTCAGATAAACCCAATTTAAAGACATATCATATCACGCAAATGTTCACGTTTAAGATCTAATCTATCAGACGAAAAAGCGGGCAATGATGACAGTTTAATATTTCATTTTTTTTTATTCCTTTAAATTTAATGGCCTTTTGTGTTCGAATTACAAATAAATTTGCCTTTTAATAATATATGACACAGATGCTTTCCATTTTCGAATTTCGAGAACCTTAAAACTTATATAGTGATTAGTATAGTAGTATATATACAGTAGTATTATATACAGAATGTATGACTAAAGCAGCACAAAACGTGTATAATTCTCTAGTAGCTGGGGTCAAAGACCTTACTGAACCAATTGATCCTTTGCATCTTGACAAGATTGATGCTGACTTACCAGGATTCAAATATCATGTAACAAATGTTACTATGAATGGATTGAGAGATTGTACGGTTGAGCTGTTCAAGTAAGTAAATATACAATTTTACCACTATTAAGGTTTTATACATGCTATTCCAATTAATCCAGTTCATTCATGCAATTTGAAAAAATACTAAATGTGGATTTCTGCAGTTTTATGTCAACGATTAAGTCCTAACGATACTTGCAAATACATATATCTACACAAACAAGAGAATAAAAAGATTTACAGAAATAATACAAACATTAGAAAGTTCACTACAATTTCCATTTTCGAATTTCGAGAACCTTAAAACTTATATAGTGACCTACGCATAACATAAAACTCCACAACGTATACTAATTTTAATATTTTGAAAACTTTTAATGCGCGATACAGGATCGTTAGTTACCATGCGGTTTCTCTTGGTTTCGTTAAATAAAAATATGTTTTCGCAAGTGATTTTATGTATGATAAATGTAGGATTGAACGAAACATCTCTTTCTAAGAAAACAAATAAACACTGTGAAGGTCTATGGACCCCGGTCAGAACAAAATTCCTTTCGCTTCTCGGTAGATGTTTGCAGTCTGCTTTACATATTTTTTGGTCTCGCTCTCATCCATTCTGGGTAATGGTTTCGTTCCAAAAATTAGCTTTACTTTTACCTGTTTTCTAAATGCAGATAAATACATTGAAAAAAATTGTCAGTGTAATAGATTTCGATGTCTGTGGTTGGACCTTTTAGCCTTGCATCGGTAAATATAAATATGAATTTAAAAAATCACGTTTCATGTTATCTAAATGTTGACATATTTTTTTTAAACAATTCACTAATTACAGCAAATAAAGATATAAAGTGGAGTATAAATTTGAGACATTGGTTCTGATTTTGTACGTTTAGAGCTGAAGACATTTGTCTTAAAAAATGATTTTAGTGAAATCTCATTCTTTTCTCCTCGTATTTGTTGTATTAGAGACAGTGCACAGTGAGTAAAAATTATGATCTACCATAAATATTTATATTCAAAATGGGTTTTAAATGCCATGAAAAGGTAAAATGTGGGTGTCATAATGTTAATTTGTATTTTAATTTTTTTTATTTAGGCAAATTAACATGTAGTCATAACGTGACAGAATGTATGACTAAAGCAGCACAAAACGTGTATAATTCTCTAGTAGCTGGGGTCAAAGACCTTACTGAACCAATTGATCCTTTGCATCTTGACAAGATTGATGCTGACTTACCAGGATTCAAATATCAAGTAACAAATGTTACTATGAATGGATTGAGAGATTGTACGGTTGAGCTGTTCAAGTAAGTAAATATACAATTTTACCACTATTAAGGTTTTATACATGCTATTCCAATTAATCCAGTTCATTCATGCAATTTGAAAAAATACTAAATGTGGATTTCTGCAGTTTTATGTCAACGATTAAGTCCTAACGATACTTGCAAATACATATATCTACACAAACAAGAGAATAAAAAGATTTACAGAAATAATACAAACATTAGAAAGTTCACTACAATGAAGCTCACAGCTTCGTGTTTTCAAGTGAGCAATAGTTGGACTTCTACAACATTTATCGACAATGACTCGGGTCACAACAAGTTTTTAGTTTCTAAATAATTAAGAGGTTTGAGAGTTATAGTTTTTATTGAGAAAACTAGCTTAGCTTTTCTAAATCAACCTGTTGAAGAGCTCGTCGAATCTTTTTTTTTAAACTCATCTTAAAATTTTATAATGAAAATAAATACCCTTGATGTTAAATATTACTATACAATAAGCGTGAGTAACTTTCTGAAGCCTTGAACTAGGTTAGACACAATAGTATTTTATTCTTAAATTAAAACTATCGCTTACTGTGGGAGAATCATGCATCGGAATGTATGGGCCAACTGGCTTCACGGAAAACTTTGTTTAGAATTTTTTTTCATTGCTTTTCACCGAGTGTGTTAGGCCCTCCCCCTCCTGATCCTGAGGAGAGGACTGAAAGAGCGGCAATGCTCTTGTGGCTCCTGAGTTGCAAGTATCCATGAGTGGCGTGGTGGTCACTTACCATCAGGTGACCTACCTGGTCCTCAATCCTGAGTATTTATGTTAAAGTACAAGCCACTGTCATTCCATTAACACGCTATTGTGTCAATGGCAATTCAGTGCCAAGCCATCGGGAGGCCATCGGTATTGAATATTTAGTAGAATACGCAAAGTGCAAAACTATTCTGAGGATATTCTATTGATACAATATGAAAATATTAGAATAGAGACCCTGTTCGTTTGCCCTTCTGTACCAAAAAAAAACAATCTGTAAATGTTTAAGTTTTGCGTTTTATGAGTAAAACTACTAAATGCTTATAAACAGTACCTGCCAGTTCAGTTTTACCTCCAAACTTTAAACAACATAGACGCAGGTAAAATCACGGCCAAAATACTGTATCTTAATGTCGATTTAGTTAAAATGTTGTAAAGATCGTTGCGAGGTTTTGAACGTTGAACCATTACAATTCGCTCGTGCTTTGTACGTTTTTTTTTTAACAGAAGTAGTTTTGCCTTGTGGTATTAAGTCCGCGTCATGCAAGTTTTAAAGCAGGGTGTGTAGAAAAAAAAAAAAAATTTTTAAAAGTAGTTTTTTAGAAAAATATTTGAGTCAAAAGAGCGTCTCTCATAATTCAAGCTCAATTGAGAGTCCAAATATAAGGTGATATGAACCTTTGTAAGCATAGGTACTAAATGGACGATCGGATGGCGTAGTGGTTTGTGTAACGGACTGCTATTCCAAAGGTCGCGGGTTCGATTCCCACTTAAGTCAAACATTTAATGTTTGATTAAGTCTGGATGTTTCTATGTATAATATGTATATATTTACAAAAAAGTAGAAATGTATTTATATCAGTTGTCTAGTACCCATAGTACAAGCTCTGCTTAGTTTGGGACTGGATGGCGTTGTGTGAATGTGGTAGAATATTGTTTTATTTTATTATTTTTAAATCAATTATTTTTTGCAGATCCGACGAAATATCCTTTAATTTTGAATTGGATTTACACTGTCCGAATTTGGTTTTCACGTATCACTATAAGGCCAAAGGCGTAATTTTAACGTCAGTAGAATTCGATGGCCAAGGTTTTGCAAATGTTGCTGTAGGTTAGTATGAGTAAATAGGTATACAAAAATAATTATCTCCCTTCATATTCTATATTGTATATTGACCCTGGGTGGTACAGGGGTAAACAATGTGATTGCTGAATGTTGAAGTCTCGGGTTCGATCCCAAATCGGACGAAATGTTTCTGTGATCTGCAAACTTTTTTATCGGAGTTTGTATTTATTTGCAAAGAAAAGTAAATAAGTATTCTATAAGTCAATCTAGGTTAGTTTAAAACTAGATGACGTTATGTGTCAGATGTCCGAATTTTTTTTTTAATTTTTTGCACTTATTTCATTAATCTTCGGGTTGTTATACAAACTTCTTTAAGTCTATTCTCAACACTAAAACAATTCAAAAGAGTTGATATACTACAAGAGTGTAGTTTTAAGTAAACGACTTATGAATAAATAAAAACATTAGGCAGTAATATGCATTCTTTTATTTTAAATAGCCTAATATTTTAAATGTACTCAGTACTTTTTGTATGTTTTTCAGACGACTATTACATTAAAATTAAAGGAAAGTTCAAAAAGTTCATTTCAGTAAAGGACCAAAAACTTTACACATCTATCATTAGTCACTTTATAGAAACAGATCTTAAAGGAAAGATTAAGTTCGAAACCGATGAAGAGATAAACCCAGACAAAACTAAATGTAAGTAAAGTTGTATGGTACACAATTATTTAAAAAAAAATGTAGAGGTTCTAATGAAGATTGAAGATTTTTTATATCTTTAACTAGCTGACCCGCGCAACTTCGTCTGCGTCTCTCAATAGTAATAAATTTTCTCCGTTTTTGAAACATTCTTCATTGGTGCTCCGCTCCTATTGGTCTTAGCGTGATGATATATAGCCTATAGCCTTCCTCGATAAATGGGCTATCTAACACTGAAAGAATTTTTCAAATCGGACCAGTAGTTCCTGAGATTAGCGCGTTCAAACAAACAAACAAACAAACAAACAAACAAACTCTTCAGCTTTATAATATTAGTATAGATAAGTTTTATAAGTACTTCTATCACTTCTACTTATTCCAACAATATTATTACAATAAATAGTGGAAGATTTTTCATTATTATGTACAAATTTTAATTTTGCCTAGTCTTTCTAATTTACTTTACTTTTTTACGTGTAGTTTTTTTTTCTGACTATGATTGATGATGATGATGATTTTATGGCCTTTATTCAATGTTAAATCTACCACTTTCTGTTTTTATGGAAAAGATTGCTTGTCATGAGTAGCAGGTTGTTTCAAAATTATGCGATAACAAGTGTTTTCGTGATAAGTGTACTAAGGTATGGTAGGTACCCTCAAGATATTCTTTCGTATTCTGGTTCGTTGCTATATAGTGTCCATGATTCCAATCATCTAAAACACTGAACAAGTAATGGGAGTAGTTATGTACACTTTAGCCTTTTGATAGTGTTATTTTGCTGCTATCAAATCAAAACAGCTTAAGTAGTTTCTTTCTAATTAAACAATAGCTACAATGTCTTATATAATAATGATATAATGGGCAAAGTATATATTTGAACATAATACAAGTTTTTGAAGTTCACATGTTTTATGTAAATGTCATGTTCATTCACAATAGAAATGGAGAATTAGATGTTTCAAGATGCGATAAAAATTAGTTATAGTCAGCCTTAAAAAAATATTTATATGTGATGAATGTTAAGGCCTAGAGTGCCTCAGAGAGCACGTTTAGTCCCGGTTGCCGTACGAACATCAATGTGGAAATTGGGTTGTGGAGATCTGATGGCAGTCGCTCCGCGTAAAAATCACAGTTCAGTCGGCTCGTAGTAGACTTAAAGCCGACTCCAACCTAGTTTGGGAAAAAGACTCGCAGGAGGAATGTTGGTGGACACGCACAACAAATATGGCGCGCACTACGCAATGCTTATGGCTTATGTCAGTTCAAAGATTTGGTGCTGAGAGTCAATTTTATCCATGGCAGGTTTACATTGGTTTCAGGTTTGTCTATTTCTACTCCAAATTTGATTTTAACATTAAAATGTATTTTCAGCTGATTTAGCGAAGATAGCCATCAATGAAAACTACAAAGATACCGACGTACTCCTTCGAACTCCGTTTCTCGAGAACTTCATAACATTGTTTGTACAGAATCTGAACACGTACTTGGCAAACTTCTCAATTGACGAATTATTACCGCAAAAGGAGAAAAAGAGTATTTTAAATATTAGAGGAACACCCTTAGTTTAATCGTAATATGTATTAAATGGTATATGAAATTGATATTCTCCAGATTAAATGAGTAACATCATAATACAAGAAGAACACATTGTTTTATTAAAATTTAAACTTGGGCATAAAAATGCAAAGCAAAATTTCATATTTAAATATAGGATACAAGATTAGTAAGTGCCTACATAATTATGACGCTTACAATATTAGTTATAAATCAGGTTATCTTTACCATATTCTCAACGAGACAGCGTATATTTGAACAAGATTTAACAAAAACCTCACAAACGACTTATCAAATATTAGTTATTAGTCAGCCGCTGAGTCTGAGCCCTGTTTCGATCTCTCTACGCTGAGATTTAGGGATAATATTGTGTAAAACGAATAAATTTTGGTATGATACTAACCATCTTTCTTTTGACTGTAACACGATGTTCCGCATTGTGAAAATATAAGACTCGTAGACATCAAAAGAGCAGCCAACAACAATTATCACAGTGTATTGCCAAACTATGGTAAACTATAACTAGTATAACTGTATGGTATTTCAGATTTATTATACTTCAAGAATATATTTCAGAACCAGCAGATTTTTTTGATGAAATAGTTATACAAGATGAAGATAAGAAGATAAGGAATAAATATGAAATATAACGAATTGGTTTATATTTATTCTTTCATTAACCTTCATAACTTCATTATTAAATGATCAGTAGTCGAGTGGTCAGAGACCTACCTACTCATGTTCTTGTTATGGGTTCGAATCCCATTCACCCCAAAACACCAACTATAGAATATATCTTTATGCGTAAGTAGGTTACTACTTACGCATAAAGATTAATTCTCTGATAGGTTTTTCATGGCGATCGAGCAGACAAATTACCTGATGTATGTATTTCCTAATTATTATTGTATACTACTATATTTATAAATACCAATTACCCAGTAGTATCTACAATATCATCACATCATCACCAGTTAATAGTCCACAAATGGACATAGGCCTCTCCTAAGAAAAGGCTTAAACCTTAAGCCTACTATACCACGCTAGCCAGACGAGTCGGAATAGGGTTTGTGTCAAGTTTTCCTTCTCTTTGCAGTGCTGTTATCTAGAGTAGTTTGGACCCTTAGTCGCCTCTTATAATACCCACGGGATGAATAATGATGGTGACAGTATGTATTGTAATCCGTCAACACACGGATGATCAGTATCCATAACATAAGCTTTTAATTTATGTGTGCTTGAGCTTAGGTAATTAAGTGTGAGTGTATAATATCTATTAAAGATTTATTAATTTATTAGATTTAGTAGGCAAATAAATATTTTAGTATAAATACAATATATATTTATGACCATTTGTTTTAGAAAGTTATTCCCATTTTTCTTGAAAATGCTATAGCTGAATCTATTAATGTACTACATTAATGCTTTATTATTCTTTTCTATGTTATTTATTTGGTATACATATAGTTATAATTATCAAATAATTATCTAAAATAATACAAAAACTAATTTGAAGGGTCAATAGAAACAGATAAAGTTATAAAATAAAGAAAACACTATATAATAAAAGAGTCCACAGATGAATCTTGCAGTAACCTAAAAAATCAAATATAATATCCCTAATATCCGGCTTTCCCAAACAAAAATTGTGTTACATATAGATTCTAAAAAAGCGATTTCATTTTTCAGTACAAATGCTGCAATTTGAATCCAAATATTTTTTTGTATGGATACCTGCTGTTTTTTATATTTAATCAGACGCGTGTGATTTTGTGTTTAGTTTTCTATGCGAGATTTTATCAAAGCTGTCGTATCAGGATTTTCAGCTATATTTAAAAATACGGAAGTGTTTTGTGCCACGTATTAAAGCGTGTACTGAAGCATGTCACTTCTTACTTGTTACTTTTTTAGTCTTAATGAGAAAATAATCATCATTAACGACTAAATAATAAACTAAAAATTAGGAAAACTAAAAAAAACACGCTTTTGTAACGGCTGACCCAGTGGAGAGATTTATGAGATAACCTCAGGGCGCCTTTTAAGAGAATAGATGTGTGTGCGTGTGGGAAACCTACGGGATTCCCTAGAGGAAAACAACTTACACCTCAGTTATACATACATGTATATTTCAAAAAAACTTAATTTATTTTACAATAAAAAAAATTAAATAAATTAATCAGTGGGTACAAGAGAAAAAAAAAAAAAACCGCAGCGGAGCGCGTTAGAGCCGAGCTGATGGTGCTCGGAGCCTTCTCGTCCTCACTCCAGGAGGTCACTTCACCATCCGCCCGAGTCGGCTATTTATATTAGATATTGAGAAAAGTTCACAATTGGTATTTATAAAGTTAAATAGAGGTACGTATCCCTTGGGTACGGCTGTCCGCTTGCTTCGTGAGCCGCGCAATCGCCAGCTTGCCAGAGGGTACCGAGAAACTTGAATCTGAACCAGAAGGCCACAAACGAACAAGCACGCCGTCTGAGACTGACTGTCTTGACCCCGAAATCTGGGACCCTACGAATGGATTAGCATTCATATAATTAATCAGGTTCCAGAAACAAATAGGTACAAAAAAAAATTAGGACCATACTCACCACTCTCGTGGGTACTTTTGAACAGATAATATATTACGAAAATCAAATCACACAACAATCAAAACACTATTTAAGATTGGAAAGCCGGACTTATATATCTTCCGTTCCCGAAGCTTCCAGAAATTATCCCTACTCAACATTTTACTTTGACATTTAAATTATCGACGAGGTTAACACAACCAAAATCAAAAGTAACTCGCTTTCTACCATAACAAAACACTCTCAATACCTATACAATTTGTCACGACAAATCAACAAACTGACTTATCCACAAACAAACGCCATCTAGTGGTCCGACAGTGAACGAAGAAGATCAATACTGTAGTTATAAACTACTTTAGATAAATCAACAACAATGCGACGCGGCCAATAGGTGTCGCTTTTAATAAGACCGTACGCATTACAAATATACTAAAAAATAACTGTTACACCACTCCCTCCCTCAAAGTATTCCCTGCGTAGCATGCGCAGGGAATATCATCACCAGGGCCAACCCAAGAAATGCTAAATAAATTATATAGCTCGCGCTAACCACACTCATTGTGAGCAATATGAAATCCAAACATAACAATAACTACCAAAAAAAACAAAGTCAAAAGGCCTTCACCCAATACTACAGAAGTGTTACCCTATTTACTACCCGAATCACTGTATGGTTCTCACATAAGTGAACACCATAGAGTGAGCAGGTGTGTGGTAAAGAGAGACCGCGCGACGCGAAGTGTGCAATCTCACATACGAGTAGAGACGGAACCGACATAGGTAGGAGAAGGATCAGAAGGTTGTTCCTTTTCACTAAACTTCAAAATGTCCTTAATGTGATATACTCCCAGACCCTTACCATCCAAATCCGACAGCTCATAGACTAAAGGAGAGCGTTTGGCGGTGACAATGCATTTCATAAATTTAGGCGCTAACTTCGCCGTAAAGTTCTTAGCCTTGTTAGATAGATAGAATGTCCTCTTATAAACAATCTGTCCCACTTTCAATTCCACATGCCTTTTTCTGAGATTGTAGTATTTCTCGTTACGCCGGTGAGCAATATCTAAGTATTTCCTCACCTGGTCGTATATTCGATGTAGTTCCTTCAATCTCTCACCAAAGGACACTGGACTGTCAATGGAAACAGAATTAGGATGGGCAGGAATCTCTGTCTGTCTATAAAGAACTCCATCCCCTATGAATTCCCTACCGTGAACAAGAAAATAGGGGCTGAAACGAGTGGCTTCGCTGACAGCAGTGTTTAGGGCACACTGGATTTCCACGAGGTTCTCGTCCCATTTCTTGTGATGTGACTTCACGTAGCAGGAAATTCCCTGAACCACGTTGCGTATAGCTCGCTCTGCCTGGTTGGTCTGCGCGTGATATCTAGGATTATAATAAATGTTAGGCACATTGTACTTAACCAACAAGTCCCCAAACGGTTTGCTAACAAACTGTGGGCCATTATCCATATAAATGGTTTTACAAACCCCGTGGACTAGGAAAACATTCTTTTCTATGAATCTCGCGACAGCAACGCCTGTTGCTATCCGTATAGGACACAACATGACATATTTACTGAAATAGTCCGAGACCACAATTAAATGAACGTTTCCCTTGCTGGAAGTAGGGAATGGACCCAGCAGGTCACACGAGATGGCCTCAAAAGGTCTAGACACCCGTTTCGGATTCCCCATTAGGCCGGGACGAGTAGTGTTCACAGGTTTGTACTGCTTACAAGTCTCGCACTTGTCTACATATTCCTTGACACTCTCGTACATCTTAGGCCAGTAATAATAGAGGGCCAAACGTTTATGGGTTTTCCAAACGCCCCCATGGGCACTCATGACGTCGTCATGGTACTTGGTGAGCAGGGATAACCTGTCTTCCAGCGGCACCACCAGCTTCCAATCAAAATCAGAGGTCAGAGAGTATTTCTGTTTTGATAGCCTGTATAAACAGTTATTACGTATATCAAAGTTGGGGAAGTGCTGAGGGTTCTTCTTCACACTGTCTAGAGTGTGGAGATACCAAGAGTCCCTAGTAACGCTGGTGCCTATTGTGTCAATTTGAATTCGAGACAGAGCATCGGGTACCAACATGGTCTTTACCTTTTCGATGCTCTATATCGACCTCAAACTGGCTCAACCTCATGCTCCAGCGCGCTAGGCGACCTGTCGGATTCTTAAGTTTGCGGAACCACAACAGCGAGGCGTGGTCCGTAACTACGGTGCATTTCTGGCCTTCCACGTACTGCCTGAACTGTTCCAGAGCAAAGATCACCGCTAGGAGTTCTCGCTCAGTGGTGCTGTAGTTGACTTCGTTTTTGTTAAGAGAACGACTACAATACGCGATAGGGTGTTCCACTCCCTCATGTGTCTGCGTGAGTACAGCAGCCACAGAGAAGGATGATGCGTCACTGAGAATCCTAAAAGGCAAT